TGGGGGGGTTACGGGGTGGGGAGGGGATGGAGGAGAGGGTAGAGAAGGGTAAGTGGGGGGGTTACGGGGTGGGGAGGGGCAGGGGGTGGCAGAGGCGCTGCCCCCCCCCCCGCTCTAACTCGGGGCTTTGTTTTCGTTGCAGGCCCGGCCCGAGCGGCGCACCCCGGCGGGGGCGGGGGCGGGGGGGCTGGTGCCCAATAAAGCTGTAACCGACCGAGCCGTGTCCTGCGCCGTGTGTCGGGGGGGGGGGGGCACGCGGGGATTCCTGTCGGCCAAATCACCCCTTCCCCTTTAAGAGCCCGACGCTGTCAATAAACCGCCCCCTGATTGGTTCGTGCCCCCTCCTCGGTGCCCTGGCAACCGCGTCCGCCGTTCCGGGAGCCTGGAGCCGGCGGCTGCGAGGGACGGGCCCCGCGGCCCCGGCCGGACACGGGCCATGTCGGCCCGCACGCTGCCGCTGCTCTTCCTCAACCTGGGCGGGGAGATGCTCTACATCCTGGACCAGCGCCTGCGGGCCCAGAGCATCCCCGGGGAGAAGGCCCGCAAAGGTGAGGGCCCGGGCCCGCGCCCCCCCCCACCCCCCCCCCGGGGGGCCGCCCCCCCCGCTACAGCATCCCCGGGGGCCGCACCCCCCGTCCATTCCCAGAGCATCCCCGGGGGGCCGCCCCCACCTATCGCCACAGCATCCCCGGGGGGCCGCCCCCCGCCCCTTCCCAGAGCATCCCCTTTTCCCCATGCCTCTGAAATGGATCGACTTGAGTTCTATCCCTGTGGCAGGCTTCAACATACTTTCTCCATGGAGCCAGTGTAAAGCTTTCCCTGGAGCAGCTGAGACCACTATGCAGAAATTAGAGACCTATTGGGGTTTTTTTTAAAGCCCCACTTCTTGCCCCTATGGTTTGACAGGCGAGTCTTCTGCCTGTGACTCAAATTTACAGCTGCTGTTTAAAGTCCTGTAGACAGCAAACAATTATGTCAATTTCACACTACTGCTTAGGAATCTTTGAGCCACAGAGGCAAGGCTGGCACTGTTCAGGAATGAAGGGGATATGAACACCAGAGGCTGTGGGAAGGGTGGAGCAGCAAGCCCACAAATCAAGTGCCCCTGCAGGGCAGTGAAACAATACTTTCCCTTCCAGAAGCCAGGAGGGCTGGGGCTTCAAATGTATCAAATATCTACTATCCACAGAATAGAAAAATAGAACAGAGTTTGAAGACAGCACCCGGGTGCTCAGATGTTGATAAGGGGAATAGGGGAGTGCCTTTTTTACCTGTATTATCCCTCCTCCTGCTGGGTGACTAGCTCTCCCGCTCCTTGCTTTTTTGTTGGCATCTGGCTAGTAGGTCATATGCTAGGGCTATGTTCCAGAGCCCTAATGGGGAGGCATCACATCTCAAGATGCAGGTGGTGGATATCTGGCTAAAGACTCAGTTTCCTTTACATGTCTGACATTTCTAGAGTTATGTTCATATTTAAACAGCTACACAATTTAGCTTCATCCCTAGAGAGAGTCAACAAATAATTCACACACTCTTTTGGATCCTGTATCTTTGGCTTTCTGTTCAAGAGGCTTTGTACACTGCCCTCTAAACAGCTGAGGCTCCATGAGCAAATTTTGTGCTAAACTGATTTTAAAATGGCTTGTTGTAAGTACATACTGAGCCAAGCTGTTTTGGACACAGCACTGCTGGATACTTATGCTTATAGATGTAAATGGTGATGTTACATTTTGAACAGAAAAATTCTGGCTAATGTAAGTGTGTGGTGGGGGGGGGGGAATGGGGGGTATTTTTGAATGTGGATCAAAGCTCCAGCTCTCTATACTCGGTTTCCATACTGTATGGCACAGTCATGCTCTATCCCCCCTACCCAATATACAGTATAGGTTTCTTTCAACTGTTACATCTTTTATGGAAACCTTGAAATCAACGGTTCCAGTTTGAAACCAGGGTTCTGACTAGATCCCCTTAATTGAGGGGCAGATGTGAACACCTCATTGTAGCTGCCTGGGTGGAAGCCTGTGTATTGGAAATGTATGTTCCAATAGAATAGGAGTTCCACTAGAATATTATAAAGTAAAATGATATGACATCGGGGGGAGGAGAAAATGTGCCCAGGTGGAAGACTTTACGGGGTGTGCAGAGGACACATTCTTTGCTGCTTTGGGGAAGGGAATGACTCCTTCCCACTGATCCAGGGACATCCCAAACAGGCTGTGGAGGGCACCATCTACATCTCTGCCCTTGGTCTCTGTAAAGTAAAGGAGAGGAGGGTGGGAATTAAAAAAGAAAACTGAGGAAATCCCAGAAGACTAAGAAGCAAATAGAGAAAACTCCAGTCATGGATGTACAAAATAAGGTGAAATATTATCCTTCTCCTACTGATTCCATCAACCAAGAAGCGACTTTGCTGCAGCACAAAAATGGACTCAAAGATGCTCATTCATGGCAGTGTCCTCTGTTTTTAGCAATTTCACTCTGACATATGATCAGTCATGCTCCTGCTCCAAAGTGATCTACCGTTTACTAGTAAGCTAGTCTCATGCAGTCATTTTTATTGGGTGATATTTCCCTGTATTACATTTATATAGGAGAGTTATTAATATACTTACTATGGTATCAGAAGGATACTGCAAAGGCAACATAGTCAGAACAACCATTTCTTAATCAGGGCATTATGGTCATAGATTAATAGATTCCAAGGCCGGAAGCGACCATTGTGATCATCTAGTTTGACTGTATTACACAGGCCATAGAACTTCCTGAGAATAATCCCTAGAGCAGATCTTTTAGAAAAGCATCCAATCTTGATTTAAAAATTGTCAGTGATGGAAAATCTACCATGACACTTGGTAAATTGTTCCAATTGTTAATTACTCTCACCATTATAAATTTGTGCTATCTTACACTAGGTATCTCTCTGGTAATGACTGCATGAAGCTGTTATCATTAGTGCTCTGTGTTTGGCACGGAGGTCATGGATTCTGTGACTTTCCATGAGCTCCGTGACTTCTGCGGCAGCCAGGGGGGCTGACCCCAGAACTGCCCAAGCAGCTGGCTCCAGGGCTGCTTGCCGCTGCTGAAGCGGCTCCGCAGCCACCCGCTCGGGCAGCACTGTAACCAGCTGCTGCTGGAGTGGCCCCGGGGCCAACAGCACCGGAAGCTGCTCAGACAGCCCCAGACAGCTGGCCCCAGGGACCACCCGAGCAGCAGCCAGTGCGGCTGGATCCGGCGACCGCCCGAGCAGTGGGGTCAGTGCGGCTGCCCTGGGGTCAGTGCTCCCCAGCAGTGGGACCCCCAGACACCTCCCCTAGCAGCAGCCCCAGCTCCCTCTCAGCAGCGCCTCCCTCCCCCCAAGATTTAGTCGGGGGTATGTATAGTATAAGTTATGGACAGGTCATGGGCCATGAATCTTTTACTAAAAATACTCGTGACTAAATCGTAACCTTAGTCATCATACTTATCAACATCGCCAGAAAAATCATCACTTCTTTACATACTAGAGATTGCTACACTTATTACAGTAAAGAGCTGGTATGGGTGGAGGCCTACAATAGAAGAAAGTAAAAACTAAGATTGTGCATTTGGTTACCATGGAAGCCCAAATAAACTTGCATATCTCTGTATTTGTATTTCGGAGCTTAATGCCTCAGGGATCCATTTATGGAACCAAAATAACTCAAGATTTGGTCTTCTCAACAATATTTTCATCATCCTGGTTCTGAAATATCACAATAACAGCAGATGAAGTGTTATTTTTGGACCCAGAGATGGCTTCCTGAAGCATTTAAAAAGTCCCTGAGAAACAAACACACACAATTTTAAAAATAAGAGAAACATAAATATATGACTACTGGACTTTGTGCCCAGCCTAGTAACATGTCTTTGGACCCTGTATTTATAAAGTTGTAAAGTCATTATTAAATGTACCTCCCCCTTTGATTTCGTACTTACTACACAAAAGCTCCAGCCTTAAATCAGTGGCATTATGCAGCTCTCATTGTAACATTTTCAGAATTAAACAAATTATGGTTAAAAAAAGGTTCTTCTCCAAACCATGAAAGTATATGGAGCAGGAGCAGGGAAGGCGATCCCAGGAACTTTAAAATTTCATAACAATAAGAAATCAGGGAAAAGGTTCATTGTGCTTTTCCATCTGTCCTCCCAATCTGAAAAAACTGCTTAACAGTAGCAGAGGATATATTACGGGAAGCTATTTTTAACAATTCATATTATAATGGCTAAAGTAATGATAGGGCTATCTTATTGCACCATCGCTGTGTACTGTTCAGGTGGCTGGAGGTACAAAACTTAGGCTTGGCCTACACTACCAACTTATGTCAGTATAACTACGTGACTGAGGGGTGTGGATTTTCCACACCTTTGAGAGTCGTCGTTATACTAAGCTAACCTCCGGTGTAGACAGCAGTACGTCGACAGGGGGGCTTTTCCCATTGACGTTCTCAGGGAGGTGGAGTACCTGTGCTATCAGGAGAAGCTCTCCTGTTGGTGTAAGTAGCGTTTTCACTAGAGCTACAGCAGCGCAGCTCCACCGGTGCAGCTGCAGCACTGTAAGTGTAAACAAGCCGGTAAACATAATGACACATGAGGTGTGAATCAGTGACCCAAAAAAACAAGTTCCGACACATCTCGATGAGAACGTAGGACCTGCACTACTGTAGCGGCATTCTACACTCCAGAAGAGTCAGCCTTTATTTTGGTTGAGATGTGGTTACAGCTGTGTTGTGGTATCATTGGTTAGAACTGTTGACTCTATATTGTTCACTTGTGAGTAATAAATATAGTTGTACTGAAAACAACCAGTCACATTAGCTCTTCCCTTTCCCAGCTTGGTGTCAAAAGTGCTGAGCATTTGCTTGGGATAAAATTCTGGCCTCAGTGAAGTCAGTGGGATTTTTGCCAATGACCTCAAAAGGGCCAGGATTTCACCATTGGTGTTTGGTTTTTAATGTGAATGAAAGGTAAAAATGGCAGGCAGCCTTTTCTTGTTAAGCATTGAATGCTGACATGAAAATAAAGTCCATCAGCTAGATTTTTCCAATTTCTTTCTTTTAATCTCCTTGCAAGTATTGTTCTTACTACTTGAACCAATGTTTTTGTTTTGTATGCTTCGTGTAGATGAATGGACAGATGTGGACAGGAAACGAGGTACAGTAACCTTTTAGCTGCATGCATTAGATCAACACAACCATATGCACATATGCACTCTAAACCCATATGCACATATACACTCCAAACCCTGTTGCTACAGTGTTTTAGTTATAGCAATTGTCAAGAACACAAACAGGTGATTCTTCAACCAAGACTTTCTATTTAAAAAATACATTAATAATTTTAGCTCTAAACACAAATAAATCAAAGACCCTTTAACAATAAATATCTTATAATCATGCAGCCCTCTGAAAATTAATTATAATCAGGGCAGTGCATATCAATAGATGGTATCTTCACCAGAGAACTTTCTAGCCAAATCTGAATGTCTTTGTTGATTAACCTTACAGAAATACAAGCATATGACTGCATGAGTTCTGTGAGCATTGTTCATGTGTAAAATGCAGGCAGTAATCATGTATGCTGCATAGCTGTATTTCTGTAAGGATATTCCCAATTCCCTAATCCCCTACCGTTCCTCATCTTAATTAGTCTCCAGTTTCCAGGGCCCAACACCTCTTTAAGCAGCTTCCTTTTAATAGTTATGATTCACAGTTTTCAGAATAAAGCCTTCAGCTTTCTCTGTACATTTAGCTAAGGTGCTTCACTATGTAGGGCTGTCAAGCGATTAAAAAAATTAATCGTGATTAATCATGTGATTTTAAAAATGGCAATTAATCATGCTGTTAACAATAGAATACCATTTATTTTATTTTAAATATTTTTGGATGTTTACTACATTTTCAAATATATTAATTTCAATTACAACACAGAACACAAAGTGTACAACGCTCATTTTATATTTATTTTTGATTACAAGTATTTGCACTGTAAAAAACAAAAAAACATTCTTTTTCAATTCACCTCATACAAGTACAGTAGTGCAATCTCTTTATCACAATAGTTGAACTTACAAATGTAGAATTATGTAAAAAAAAATTGCATTCAAAAATAAAACAATGTAAAACTTTAGAGCCTACAAGTCCACTCAGTCCTACTTCTTGGTCAGTCAATCACTCAGACAAACAAGATTGGTTACAATTTGCAGGAGATGCTGCTGCCTGCTTCTTTACTTGTTTACAAAACTACAGAACCCAAACCACCAAAAAGAAAAATCAACCTTCTGCTGGTGGCATCTGACTCAGATGATGAAAATGAACATGCGTCAATCTGCACTGGTTTGGATCGTTATCAAGCAGAACCCATCATCAGCATGGAAGCATGTCCTCTGGAATGGTGGCCGAAGCATGAAGGGGCATTCAAATGTTTAGCATATCTGGCATGTAAATACGTTGCAACGCCAGCCAGGGCCGGCGCAACCCATTAGGCGACCTAGGCAGTCACCTAGGGCACTACAATTTGGGGGGCGGCGACTGTGGTGGTATTTCGGCAGCGGGACCTTCCGCCGCCTCTGTGGGGGGCGGCATTTCGGGGTGGCAGAAAAGCTGGCGGCGCTCCTGACGCCAGCTACAAAAGTGCCATGCAAACGCCTGTTCTCACTTTCAGGTGACGTAAATGAGAAGCAGGCAGCAGTATCTCTCGTCAATGTAAACAAACTTGTTTGTCTTAGCGATTGGCAGAATAAGAAGTAGGACTGAGTGGACTTGTAGGCTCTAAAGTTTTACACTGTTTTGTTTTTGAGTGCAGTTATGTAACCAAAAAAAAAATCTGCATTTGTAAGTTACACTTTCATAATAAAGAGATTGCACTTCAGTACTTGTATGAGATGAATTGAAAAATACTATTTATTTTGTTTATCATTTTTACAGTGCATATATTTGTAATCAAAAATAATAATATAAAGTGAGCACTGTGCACTTTGTATTCTGTGTTGTAATTGAAATCAGTATTGAAAATATTTAATAAATTTCATGTTATAGGTGCGATTAATTGCGATTAATTTTTTCAATCACAATTTTATTTTATTTTTAGTTAATCGTGTGAGTTAACTGCGATTAATTGACAGCCCTATACCTAAGTGTTCAAGTGATATTGATATGTGAATATGCTGGAGTTTGCTTCCGTTTTTTTCTGTGGCTCCACAATGTGTTTTGTGCAGTTACATGTTCTTGCAGCATTTAAAATGTACTAACATATCAAAAGGCTCTGTAGGGCTCTATTGTAACACATTCAAAAGTGGGATGCGGAGGATAAAAGCACCTGCTTTTCATAGTTATATGGTCAAGGCACAAATGTGGATTCCACATAGATCAATCAGTAAAGCTTTAATACTTTCATTGTGCAAGGATTATACAGTAAAAACATACTGTATCCACTGCGGGATGCTACTATTAAAAGGAATGATCCCCGAGCAGTCAACAGTCCAAAATCACAAGGTTGATGATATGATGATTCAGGATTCACCCATCCTCATCTATTTCATTGACTTCAGTTATTTATCTTTAATATACAATTGTTCATGTTTACACAATGAGTAGCTAAAGGAGCTGCTGCAACTGTGTAAAATGTAACCAGTGACTGGTGTCTGAAGCAGTAATTAGTAGTTGGCAGACTGTAATGTGAACGTCTATGTGTCTGTTGTTCACAGCTGGAGTCAGTTATAACCTTGGTTGTCAGCAGTTGTGTACCTGGATTTTGTTTTAAATGGAAACTTGTTGCAGGTAAAAATGTGTAAGTGTTTTGGTCTTGGATTATTCCTTTGAATGTAATCTAGGAAGCATGAGCTTTATCAAGACAGAAAGTTATCTGCTTCCTGTCATGCATGTGAGCCATCTCTCGTTAAACTGCATTAGAAACTGAGATGTATGGGTCACAAATGATGTGACATGATTATGGAAAAACCTCTGTGAATCCTCCCTCTTCTCTCTCGTCCATTGCATTCTCTCTTTGTGGGAATGTCTCCTGTCTGCACTTGGATCCCTTTCCTGGTCCTGCTTGCTGAGCTCCCTCTGTGTCTAGTTGCCTTTGTGCTGCACTGCTTAGAGTGTCCTTATCCCTGTGCTGACCCCCCTCTGTTTTTTTTTTTGGTTTTTTTTCCCTAACTCGAATGACTAACATGTTCTCCTTGGGAGAACCTACACTCTGGGATCCCTTTGCTTGATCCAAGGCTATTGTCTTTAGTTCCTATAAAGAAATTAATACCACATTTCACTATCAGAAGTGTGTTTGGTTTTTGAATGATACTGGGGTTGGCTGTGTCCTTTTTACATTGAATATTTGTTTCTTTCACCGCTCTATTTTAAGAAATGTGAATGGTTTTAATTGCAGGAATTAATTTATGTAAGGATTGATGTGTGGTTAATACAAGTCATCCCATTTCATTCCATTGCATTCCATTGTAAAACACTTATAGAGAGACTTTGAGTATTGTTGCAACTCTAAATAGGATTGTTCTGCTACCTGTTTGGATGGCCTTGGTAACCTTAATGGATCTTGATGGGCACAAAAAATGTGCAATGTGTGCAAACAGCTATAAAATATTCATGTTAGTGTTGCCATGGGGCCGAAGGTCTGATTTTTTTCATGTCTGACCAGCTGCAAAATAAAATATGTAATGACTGATACTTATTGACATTGGATTGGATTTTCTTCATTCCTAAAGGGATGTTGGATTAAGATTCTGGCTAGGATTGACAAATAAAATGTTTTATGGACAGTACATGCCAAAGGTAGGCAGTGGGGGGAAGAAAAATCTTTTAATCGTAGTTACTTTTATTTGGGTCACTGCTTCTTAGAAGCTGAGAATAGATTGGGATCCTGTGAAATGTCTTAAGATGCCCACAAGGGGAAATACTGTTTTGCATCTTTGTAAATATTACCTCCAAGCAAGCATAGAGGGAATTGCATCAGTAATAACTTGCGCTCCAGCACCCTGAATGATCTGTTTCCAGCTTCTCGGCACCTGAATGGTACCTAGCAACTGCCCTGGATATCTAACTAAGTTTCCAGTATTATTTAGCGCCAGAGAAGGTGAAAATAGCTGCTACATAGCTTCTGCTGAAGTGCAGTAGACCCACTCACCACCCCTTGCCCCCCCAATAGTGAGCGTGCATGTCTAACTCTACCAATAAGAACTAATGTCAGTACTTATATAACTAATCACTACCACCAAGTATCTCTTTGTTCTCTGACTTCTGCCTGGAGGTTTCTGTAATCCTGTTTGAATTTGCTAGCATCACTATCTTTGGTAGTGGTCATCTGCTTAGAAGAGGCTTAATCCTTGCTCTGTAGTCTTGGTATGGACTACAATATTAGCTTTCATTCAGCATTTCCATAGTGGGAAGTGAGTGTTTGTGATACAAAGTTTAGGGCCAAATTCAGTACTGAAGACAGTGGAGTTGCACCTCCTTGTATCACTGCTAAATTTGTCCCTAGTGTCTACCTTTTCAGAAAAGCAGTGTACGCTGGTGATTAGAGCAGAGCACTGCAAGGCAGGACTCCATGGTTCTGTTCTTTGCTCTGTCACTGCATCTCTTGAGTAAGTCACTTAACAGCTCTGTGCCTCAATATACATATATAAAAAGGTACTATTCATAAGGTTGTTGTGAAGCTTAATAAATGTTTTGAAGTGCTTTGAGATTCTCATATGAAAATCACAGTGGAAGAGCTCAGTATTATCTTCCAGTGGTGCCAGTGTTTGAAATGCTTTCCTTACCACCAAAAATCCAAATCTGTGCAACACAACAACTTCAGACAATGAACCTTGAATCATTTGATAGACTTCTGTTAAAAAGAGGAAAAGAAATTGATTTCTTACATTTCTAAAGGGAGAAAAAGATTCAGTTGACTATAATTTATTTTAAGATGGTAATGTGAAAGTCTAACATAATTTAGAACCACAAAGCTTTCCCTGTGGAGCAGAATAACAGCTAAATAGGCATTAGATGCAGTATCAGCCTGTGCACAGAACCAGACATTTCTAATTTAAATAAAAAAATAATAAAAGTGATAGACATGACTTAAAAAACAATGCACCAAAAAGAGTCTTATTCCCATCAGAAAAAAAGTGTTTGTTGCCTATGGCTAGGTCTACACTGCAGACTTCTGCCAGCCCAGCTCTGTCATTCGCAGGGGTGAAGAGGTGTGGTCCCTGACCCACAGCACTGTGCCAACAAAAGCTCCTAGTGTAGATGCATTTATACTGGCAGAACTTCACTTTTACCAGTGTAGTTTGTTTCTCTTGTGGGAGATGGTTTTACTATACTATAGCAAAGGACAGCTTGGCTGGTTTAGCTGCGTCCACACTAGAAGTGCTTTGCTGGTATAGTATACCAGTATTTTTTTCTCTTGTGGCTCTGTATGTGGTTTGCATAGGTAACAATTCATATGAATCCTCGCACACCCGACTGTCTGTGTCCTCCATGTGGAACAAAATTGAGCATTAGCTATTTCTGAAGTCTGTCAGTATAGAAAATCAACAGAATGGGTTCTTTTGTCTTTACAGTTATGAATGATATCATCACAACCATGTTCAATAAAAAGTTTATGGAAGAGCTGTTTAAACCACAGGAACTCTATTCCAAGAAGGCCCTGAGAACAGTGTATGACCGGCTGGCTCATGCTTCAATCATGAGGCTGAACCAGGCGAGCATGGATAAGGTAAAAAGAATGTCTTCCCCTCATAAATCATTCTAGATATTAGAAGCCATTTGTTGCTTTCTTTGATGCTGCTTCTCACTGGGTGTTGATTGCAGTAGAATTTTTTTATATCATTCTAATTGATCAAGCATTTTGTGACAGAAATCCTCCTTGCAAAAGTTCCTCCTAGTTTCCTCCCAGGAAAGGTGTTAGAAAATATACCTTAGTATCAGACACATTAAGGTAACTCAAAACAACAACAAATTCCAACTCTATGTTTCTGCTTTGATAATGTGAAAGTGTTTGATTTGGGGTATTCATTAGGTGTGTCTTAATTATAACTGTGTATATGCTTATTACTATTTGGGCATCTCCAGATTCATACCCTCAATTTTGTATGTGCAAATACCTGAATGTGTGCTTGTAAAGAGTATTTCTACATGCAAATAACTGTGGCTATAACTAAGGAGGTTGAGGGAAGCCCCTGTGAACACTTTACCCTATGGGTTTAGATACTAAAAATTAAATTCTGCATGTAACAGGTATGTATAAAATCTGCCACAGGAATAAAAGATCAGAGCTCTTACCATACAGGTATTGGGATGAGTTTTCAAAACCACTTTCCAGATTAAACTTGATTTGACAGTGGGATTTGCACCAGACGATGACTGACTTAGGTTTTTTGATCTAACTAGATTTCCCTGCATTATTTTACAGCTCTATGATCTTATGACTATGGCTTTCAAATACCAAGTTCTGCTCTGTCCTCGACCCAAAGACATACTGCTAGTCACTTTCAATCATCTGGATGCTATCAAGGATTTTATACGAGACTCCCCTAATATTCTTAACCAAGTGGACGAAACATTTCGGCAGCTAATCGATGTAAGAGCCCAATTATTGGATGAACCATGGACCTCACAGCTGTTTGTTTTTTCACTTTTTTTTCAGATAATTTTAAAGATGCTAAATACCATGTTAATGAGTGGCTCATTGAGTGTGGAACTTTTCTTTCACCCTTAGGGAACAACTCAAATCATTCTGCTCCCCTCTTGAACCTGAGGGAAATAGATTTGGTTTTCAGTTACTAACTTTTCCTAATCTTTTTGGAACCACAAATATAACTATCCCAGTGAAAGACTTTTTTTAACTCTAAATTGTATTTCTTTGGAAGGGAATTTAGTGACTGATATATTCTAACAATAAATAATGGTGAAGGAAGGCTCTGAAGTGTTTTAAAAACACTTCTTGAGACTGAGCAGTTTAGAATTCCAGTGTTGTTTTCATATTGCTCACTTTAAGCTATTTATTTATTTAGGGTCCAGTCCAGTTCCCATTAAAGTGTAAGTCTTTCCATTGACTTCAGTAGGAAATGAATTTGAAATTGGTTTGTTAACAATGACTGCTTACCACACTGCCCTTTATTGATTTTTATTTGCAACACAGTTTTGACATTTTTGTGGCCACATTTGACTAGATGGGACAGGTCATTCACAGAACAGCTTAGAAACATTACAGTTATAATTTATTTTCTGTTCTCTAGATGTACAGTTGTCTCTCTGCTGGTGAATTTCAGCTGATCAGGCAAACACTCCTCATTTTCTTTCAGGACATGCACATCAGGGTAAGTGTCCCATTTCATTAGCCCATAAGAAAAACAGTGATTTTGTGGCAATAAAATGTAGGTATTTTGTTATAATTACATTAGTTTGAAACAGGTGTGTTTTTGCTGCTTGGGCTTGTAACTTACATCAATGTGCTTGATCTCTCCGTAACTCTAAAAACTGAGCACAATATAAATAACAAGTGTGCCCAATAGTTTTTACTAACTGAACATCCCATTCACTAGAATGGTATGAAAAGCAACTGCCCATACTCAGCTGCAGTTCTTTAAATACTAATATACAGACTGTTTTCTGGACTTGGGTTTTTCATTATTGGGAGATTTCACAAACCCAAAGATATCTGTTTATAAACAAACTCAACTGACAAACATTTTTCTTTTTAATTAAAGGCTTGACTAAGAAACCATGAAAAACTGGGGATTGACAGAAGGATTTGACATTCCTAAATAAAATAAAGGGTTCAGTTTTATTCATTTGAATATGATCAGTTAAAGTTAGATTAATAGTTCCAGTCTGTGGGCGATGACTAGAATGTGACTATTGTGGGCCCAATCCCACAGTCCTTTCAAATATCAGCCTTCCTTTGATTTTGGCAGGAATTACCATGCAGGAAGTCTGCAGGATCAGGCTCTAAGTGATTTACATTCGGAGTCGTTTGACTGGTATTTTTGTGGGTGGGGTGTTTCTTTGCAGGTCTCCATCTTTCTAAAGGATAAAGTACAAAACTCGAATGGTCGCTTTGTGCTGCCTATATCAGGTCCTGTTCCATGGGGAACAGAAGTTCCAGGACTCATCAGGTGATTTCTAGACCATTATTTATTATGTATGCAGCTCCCCCAGTGTGCACGGCTGCCCACAAAGGAGCAGTTGGTACGAACTGTAATGAGAATACTTGTCCAGCGGGAAGTGCACCAAAACTATCATTCATTTTGCATAGATCACTGAATATCTGTTGGGTATTAATTACTTATATAGCTCAGGATTTGGAACAAGTGATCTGACAATGAAAGGCTGAGTATTCCCTCTTTAATCTCCTGTTCCAGCAAAGTGCCCCTTATTTATTCTTTTAAAATTACACCGCTGCCCTTTATCAATTTAATCGTTTTTATAGTAGTATCAAACATTTGACAAAAGAGAGCTTGATTCCCCCTCCTCTAGTATGAAGAGCAAAGCAAGTCAGCACTAAAGAGCATCACTAAATATCTTGAGATAACAATGATTTATTTTTATTCCTTTAAGGATGTTTAATTGCAATGGAGATGAAGTTAAAAGGGTTGAATTCACCAATGGTGGAAATTATATCAGTCCACAAAGGGAAGGTTCATTTGATCTTTATGGAGACAGAGTGCTTAAACTGGGGACAAACATGTAAGTAAACTGTCCTACATAGAAACTACATATAAAATTCTTAATAAAACCTGCTGAAGGTCAGCCTTGAAGATAAATGGCTCTTGTTTTGTTGAGGAAAATATGTCTTCAGTCTTTGTATCTCATTGGCTTGTTTATGCCACGTCTGCAGCTCTTTATCAACTTGACACCTTTAGTTTAGTGATGTCGTCTTGGGAGGAGAACAACACGACTAGCAGTAGCTATGTATGGATATATATAAATAGCCCCGAAAAGAAACAGCAAAATCTCAACTCCTGTCCACAGCAGAGTTGAGGAATGACTGGATCTGGTTTAGTACTTCACGTTCTGTGAGCTGCATGTAATTATCACCTAGTTTGCATTCAGGGAATACTTTTGATGACCTAGATTTCTTCTGAGTAATTTTGCCATTCAGGAAAGAAGAGTTAGGAGTACTCTTTGCCCATTTGTACTTTTCTTCACTCAAGCACTTTAACACAGTCAGTCTGTTAGAAAACTGAATTAGAACTGCTCATTCCAATTATTCACTGTCTCCAGAAAAGAATGTATGGATATAACTTTATCATCCAGAAAACATATTTTGATCCTATGCAGACAGAGATGTCTCTCTGGCTCCTCCCCCGTGCACAGGAACGGACTGTTTTTTCCCTGCATGCAGTAACTCTTTTATTTTTCCCTCTAGGTACAGTGTTAGTCGGCCAGTAGAGACGCATATGTCAGGAGCATCCAAGAGTTTGGCATCCCACACAAAGGTCGGATGTCCTTCTGTCCCCTTCATGCTTTACTAAGTTATTGATGTCAGTGACATTCTGTGGCAAAAAGTATTTTGGTGTAAATACGCATTATGTGAAGAAGTATGTCCTTTTATCAGTTTTGGATTTGCCACCTTTTTTAGTTTCATTCAGTCTCCCCTTGTTCTTTTTTGAGACATGAAGAACAGAAGCTCCCAACCTTGCTTTTCTAGACCATTCATTATTTTATATACTTTTATCACGACCCCTCCTATTCATCTTCCTTTCTCAGGTAAACAATCCCAGTCTCTTCAGGCTCTGTGTATAGGATAATTTTTCCAGGCCTCTGCGTTGTTAGGCTTCTCTGAACCCCCTCCAATTTTTTACCGTCCTTGTTGCCATGGGGTGACCAGAGCATATTAGAGGAGGCTACCCGTGGTTTATATCATGGTTATATAATTTTTTCTGTATTGTTCTCTGTCCTGATCTTTATGCATGCTAAAATCTTTGTTGTTGTTTTCCCTAATTAGTTGTTTGACCTACTGAAACAATTGGAAGTTCATTTTACAGATTTTTCAGCTGTTCGATTTAGCCAGGAAATTATTTTGTCCTGTATGTGTAACCTCAGTTTGAGTCCATATGCGCTAAACATCAGTCAGCCACCATATTGCTTCTATAATATAAAATATTAAATAATAATAATATCACACTGAAAAATGTTGTCCTTTACAATACTAGGAACCAGCAAAACGAGTATAGTCCTTCTTTTTCTGTTTGTCCATCCAACGAATCCATTATTGTTTTCTGCAGGAGAATGCAGCCCCTAACCCTCTTGCTAAAGAAGAACTGAACTTTTTGGCTAGACTAATGGGAGGCCTGGAGATCAAGAAACCCAATGGCAGTGAGCCGGGATTCCGATTAAACCTATTCACAACAGATGAGGAAGAAGAGTATGCTTAATTCCAGTGCAATTTTGTGTGTGTGGTTTTGGGACTGGGGAGATGCACAACATTGACAGTCCTGGAGACTGAAGCCCTTTCTGTAAAGTGAAGGTACAGCACAGGGCAAGCGTTCTATTATGGCTCAGTCCTGACCTGGATGGATCCTCTCCAGGGACAAGAGAGGAGCTCAGTCTCTCTGGTGTGTTCACACCTTGGCCTCTGAAATTACCAACCAGAAATCCAGTTAGCACAGGTGGGAGGGGGTTGTAACGTGGAGTCTTCTCCACTATAAAGTGACTGAGGCTTCTTAATTCCCCATTGGATGGTAATGACTTTTGGTCACTAGTGACCTGATAGATTTGAACCTGTGCGTAAAGCGAAATACTCTCCCATTACCAATCTCCCTCCAGCTCCTTTTAAGCAAATAAACATTTCACAAGATAAGTGCTTTATTATAGCCTTAATGACAATTCAGGTAATCTGGTCTCTCAGCTCTAATCATCCTAGTCTCTTTGATAAAGGATTTATTTTCTGGCTGTGGGGATCAGGGGAAGGCTGCCATTCCATTGTCTGATTAGTTAAAGTTAAAGCTAGCTGGATGTGTTTTGTATTAGAGAAATACTAGCATCTCATGGATGTGCAGGGGTTGCTATATGAAGAAGGATGCTCAGTAAATTAATAACCAACCAGATGTTTTCCCCTTCATTCCCCTATCTATCATACATGAGATTAAGTAAACTTTTTTTATGCTTTCAATCAGACATGCAGCATTGACCAGGCCTGAAGAGTTATCTTACAAAGTTATCAACATACAAGCAACCCAGGTATGTATAGTCCACTATCAGAGGGGTAGCCATGTTAGTCTGGATCTGTAAAAAGCAACAAAGAGTCCTGTGGCACCTTATAGACTAACAGACGTTTTGGAGCATAAGCTTTCGTGGGTGAATACTCACTTCGTCAGATGCCTGTCATTTTACAGGTATGTATAGTGTATTTCAGATCGTTGATCTTTATCATCTCTTTGTTTCTGAGAAAATAATTTTACCCTAAAGATGAATTTGATAAATTTGAAAATATTAATGTATTTTGACAAAACCCAGTTAAGATCACAAGTAATAGAAATTATGTGCAGACTTAGCAATTACAAAGTAATAGAATTAGAAATATAGCAGATATTTGCAACTGTATCTCCTTTACTCACCTGCCAAAGCACAAAGTTTTACAAATATATAGGCTAGAGAAGGCAGACCCGATGGACCATTTGCCTGCTCCTATTGCCCTACAGCTGCAGAGCCTCACATGCTTAAGTATGTCACCTGAGTTTTGTATTCTGATTCCAGTCCTGTGGTCTGCACAGGGTAGAACTGCAAGGGCAGGCTCCATCATTAGCTATTTTAAGGGAAAAGCAATAGCCAGTGTTATAATTAACGAATGGGGGTAGGAGGGAGCTAACACTTGTTTTTATTTGTAGTGTTTAAAAAACTGGTGGTTCATCAGGGGTTTAGTTAATTTCTCAGTAACTGAAAAGTATCTTTTCTTAAACATACTTTTTATGTTAAAATACATAAAATTCAGAACGCTGAGGGCTTTTCTAAGGTTATGATGACAGTTCTAAATTTAGTCAAATTTTGCACCTTAAATCTTGAGATGAACTCTCTGAACAGAGTTACACTGACAATAATTGTGAAATTAAGAATTTAGATGTCAGGGTTTTGTTTTCATTTTCAACAGGACCAACAGCAGAATGAGGAGCTGGCTCGAATCATGGGAGAGTTTGAGGTGACAGATCAGCCCAGACAGAGCACAAGCAAGGGAGATGATTTACTGGCTATGATGGATGAATTATGATACTCTGCTTCCCAGAGGCACAGGCAGAACAAGCTGTTTATCTAGTCACTTACAATTTGACACAGACAGAAACCTGCTGCTAGTCTCCTACCACATGGAGCTGTTACAAATCCTGTCTGTTTGTGTCATGACTGATTACACAGGCCAGCCTCAGACCCCAGAATCAGTCTGGGTGGCATTGATATACATTCTACCAAAACTACTCTGATTTTAAATGTGACCTTTCAATATTTGCCTCCTTCATTTTCTGTGAAAGCTCTAGATTGTTCCAGGCCTGAGATTTAGAATCTTGAGTAATTAAAGGAAAGGGGAAGTGGGCATTCATGTTCTGCCCTTAACCTTTGCTGTGGGAAGTCTGGATACTTTAGATACCATTTATAATGGGAAATGTGAAGCTTGGTGTAA